TCGCCGAAATCTTAAATCACAAAAACTGCTTGTCACGCTGGGGTGAAACTCTGCGTGTGTGGCCCACCGCTTATACTTAGAGCAAAACGGCCATCGGTTAATCGCTCCGCGAGCGCTTTCTAGCTCAATGACTTGTCATCTCTTAGGGGTACCTCCCGCGCTTAGTGGTGAAGCGGTTCGAATAAAAACGTACCCTCCATCAGAGATATACTTAGGATGCTGCTGTTTGTGAGAGGTTCAAAGAGTTAATTTGAGCGCAAGATGAGGAGAACGCCTCATATCACCCCCTTAAATCTTTGCGAGCCAGCTCAGTAATTCTGGCGAGAATGTCTGTTAGCTTTCGACTTTGCCACGTTCACAGCACGACGCGGGCATTGAGATGAGAAACTATCACCTCAAATTCTTGCTGTCCCACCCATCTCCATTTTACAGCTGCTACGCCTATCGACCACGTGTCAAACTCACAAAACGGTCGGTGCCTCCTCATTCGTGAGAAATGCGCTACGACAGGCAGCCCTGACCCTTCTTCAAGGGAATATGTCAGGTTGTAAGCTTCAACAGTGACAGGGTTATCTCGTTGAAGTGAGATGTCAAGCTCTCATGATTCTTGTAAGTGAACGATTCCTTTATACGTCATTGTATATTGCTAACAGATCTGACTTCATTAGCAGTATACGTGAAGATAGGTTATCCCTTGCTCATCGAGCAGTAGCGGTGGATGAAATCTCATTTGAGCTCCCTCGGACGTGCGGCACGACAACTTTCACAGAGAAACCCGGCATGCGTCCGAAGCTGATATGAATCAGATCTCAAAATTTGTTCTTCGAGTTTCGCCGCTGTTCTGCGTGACCTGCGGTACCCCGACAGCTCAGAATTCTGCCGCTGCTCTAGAGCAGAGAATCGCTCAGCTACTGGAGACGGTAGGGACACTGCTCTGTCTACATCAAAGCTATTTACATCCGTCTGGATTGTACGATCAGGTTCGTGATATGGCTTAGGTAAGCCTTTGTGAAATACACGATGTGTTTATATTCTCGTTGAGGTGTGGAGAGCATAACTCACTTTTCCTTTTGCTACGATCGAGAACGGTCCGATGTAGCGAGGTTGCAGTTCAGTCTCATAGACCGCAAACACTGTATGTATAGGTGGCTAATGCATTCAGAAAGATATTTTGTCTCAATTCATATTCGTGCGTATTTGACCTGCCTTTTATTTTGGTGTGTTGCTATTGAGTATCCTAATCCTCAGCCATAGCGTGAAGCACTCAGCATTGACTCCGCATCTCATTGCTAAAAGTAAATAATTTTGCTACGACGAGTCGTCGCTATTATTAACAACTCGAATGGTATCGACAGCTCACTTTTAGACTAGGACCGGAGCTCAGAAGTTGGGTATGCATGAAGATTTCTTTTACAGCCTTGCATGTGGCCTTTTCTGCCGAACCCTGTACTACTTGATCTCCTTTTGAAGTAGACAGGGGTCACACAGTAGATACCGCCTTCATTTGCATCTCGTTACTGCCTTTTGTATGATAATTGAGCCAGCGCGACAAATAACGATAGAAAAGATTATCGGGCAAGCCAATTATAACGAAGAGAAAATTGCTGGCAGAAAATTACGGTTCAAACAGTTTTCTCTAGCAATGGCCATACAGGGGCTCGCACCCTGGACCGCAGCGTTATTAGCACTGTGCTCTCTCGACTGAGCTATACGACCAGACCCGGTGGCGTGGGTCAAATGGTCGATGCTTCTTGGCCTCAAGGTGTGTGGTGCGGGCTCGAGCCCCTCAGCGGACAAAATCGTAATCGAGTCAGACATGCAAAAAATGTCTTCTGCATGCTAAGACTACCGACAACAGCCAAAAATGGACTTCGGGATGGCGGCTCGTACAAGAGAAATCAAGAAAAAAATCAAGCAGAAATACCCCAGCGGAATGAAGCAGTGTAATATCTTAGTCAGGGCCGTGTAGGTATAGCCGTGTGATAAGATAATACGTAGCAACCTTCAACTGAGCTATATGTCCGCTAATGAGCATCGCAATCACGAGATAAATATACTAGCAGAACATTTGTTAAGTATCAAAACACCAAGGTGCTAGCACATTTACATGCGTCGATACAATCAGGGGTGTCAGGTACAACCAGGCGTATCAAATATAAGACAACAAATGTGCTAGCGTCTTGGTGTTTTGATACTTAACAAATGTTCTGTTAGTATATTTATCGTGTGATTGCGTGCTCATGAGCGGTCGTATAGCTCAGTCGGTAGAGCACGGTGCTAATAACGCTGCGGTCCAGGGGCCGAGCCCCTGTATGACCATTGCTGGAGAAAATTGTTTGAACCGTAATTTACTGCCATCAAATTTCTTCTTCGTTATAATTAACTTGTCCGAGAGTCGTTTTCATCGTTATTTGTCGCGCAAGGCAGTAACGAGACGCAAATGAAGGCGGTATCTACTGCGTGACACCGCACCTGTCGGTTATAGGCATTATACTTGTGCAAGGAGTCGGTTACGCAAAACACTTCTTTTGTTCCCTTAAAAACAAAGGTACTGGCAAATTCACGTCTTTGATTTGCATGATCTGACCGCGAACGTTTTACAAAATAAATATCGCTAGCGCCAAATAAGCGCCCTCAATATCGACGTACAGCTTACTAAAGCGCAAACAGCTTAGCGCTGTTCACGAATTTTTAATGAAAGTGGTATCCGAGTTCCATACCCAGCACGACTCAGGTATATCACGACGTGGTAACGAACGACTCACCACGTTTACTTTCCTGGATAGGAGAGTGTGTCCTGAAATTGACTTGGTTCAAATACTGCATCAGACGACAATAGCTCGTTCCAGAAGAACAATGGGACATAGTCAATGCTTTCTTTTGTGCAAAACATAATGCAGGTCTGATGACATTAAAAAGGCGCCGGCAATCTGTGCAAGGGTGGATTACGACAAGTGGTGATTTGTATATGCTTATAAAAGCTGATTTCAGGCACTATTCTAGCATAAGCGCCGATTTTTAGAACATGTGTATTATCAGAACATGATAGTTTGCGCTTTGTTCATCCACCGTCGTCTAGTCGATGGTATTATCAGTTGCTTATGGAAAAGGGTTATTAGATCTCTCTCAATGTAATGTGTACTCCGAGCGGGTTGTTTTGGAAGTAGCTAATTATGTCATATGGACTGTCTAACGTATCAGTGACGTTTGACTAGTAAGCATTGTTGCCAGGCACAAATCTAATTCACCGATATATTTGGCCATCTTCTAGCTCTAAAGCAATTTAAATGCGCGGAGGGGGGTTAACTCAGAAAACTTCCCCCGTCATCTCATTTATAAAAAAGCATCTCTTATGCCACTACTCCGTGGCGTTTCAGGGATCTGCAAGGTGAGTACGTCACGCAGCAGTGCTATCATTATATCCTGATAAGAATGAGTTATGCTTCTAATCTTCTACTCGCGACTTGAATTTGACCTTTAATTCTACACAGAAGACTGCGACTTCCAGTAAGAATACCCCCCCCCCCTTGTCTTACACGCAAAATATTGCAGCTTCGTTCCTGCGCCAAAAGAACCTCTCCTTCCCGATAATTTTAATTTAAATCTTGCCAATGCTTTATCAGGAGAGAATTGCGTGGCACCGAGCTTCCGCAAATTACAGTCACCAATAGCTAGTGGGTTTTCTGCCACGCTATACCTAAAAAAGGATCGTATCTCGAGAGTATACGTCCGGGACATGGCAACATTCCAAACCGCCGAAGCTCTCGAACTTCGCTTGAGTATAACAGAACCTTCGACATATTAAACAGTATCACCGCGGCAAGTCAAACAACAGATATTTTATCTGAATTATCTTTGATGCCTTCAAGCACTGCCTACAACAATACAGCCGTTACCCGTTGTACGTAATTGCACGACGCTTTAAGCCCTGTATCTAACAGACTGAATTCCATTAGCGCGAGGTAAAATGTAACCCATCTTTTCCAGCAATCTCGTCCTGTGTCTATTGTTTTTCGTCTTTGCTCGTGAGGTTTTGTCAGACGATAATGCACGGAAGCTCGATTCTTTGGACCTCTCAGCAGAGAGCGAAGGGCATTTAAGGCGTCTTAGTCATCCGAATGAAATACCTGCAAATAATGCAGATTTGCTAAGTGGATGAAAATTCTCTCACTTTTCATCAATATTGCTGATGTGCATCACCTCAGGCGCGCTAGTAAAGCTTCTACTTCTAGAATAATATCCTACCTTCGCGACACGAAAATGTACTCCGCATTCGCTATAACGCATCGCATTTCCAAATGAGGTTGGGTTGACACGGAAGCTCCTGTTTGAGTCGCATCAATTCGGTCACATCCCATAAACATTTTTCATGAAGATGGTTTTGTGTCCGCCTCCAAATGAGGGTCACGGCGGCAAGATTTTTAATCTCTGGACATCGTTCGCTGTTAGCAACTCGTCTTACATCATCACACGGAAGGTTTTGGGATTGACTATAAGTGCGACCAAGTGCAACAGAATTGATACTTATTGCACAGAGTCAATGAGTCCGCGTTAACAATTGCGCAAAGCTTGGATTCGTTCGTTCCAACCAAGAGCGGAAGCGAGAATCTTCGATGTAATTAGCTATTTGAGTTTGCTTATGCTTTGTCATATCAGCAGTGACTTATGTTAGCACTACTCATTTAAGACCAATATTTAAGATGGATTTACGTTGGTCAACAAGAAAATGATCTGTATTGCTTGACGTGAGGCTAACAAATCACGTACCACACGGACCCCTCCTTTACCGACTTTTTAGTAGTATAAATTTGGTACATCTTTTTCAAGTACAAGTACACAAAATATAATTTCAATTTTTTGCGCTGGACAAGTTATTAAAATAGCCTATCAATGGATAAGGTGTCATAGGCTCTTACAGCGTCATTTTGCTGGGTTCGAATTTGAAATGCAAGTTTATATGACCAAAGTAGTATTACTTACAACAACTTTACATGTCATTGTCATTCGCAAACCGATTGCAGTTCCTTGACGAGTGAAGTCCCTCGTCGAACCTCTGGGTGCAAAGAGCTTTGAAGCACTGTGGAGTTTATGAGCCCCTCTCCGGATCGCGCAACTGCGGTGGCAATCGGTGGCAGCAGCTGTGGAGCCACAACCGGCTCCGGCTTCGGTATAAAATATTGGTTGCGATGCATCCACGCATGGGCCTCCACGCTCGGCTCCATCTTCGCTACACGGAGCATGGCGCGCGGGCTTCTGGGATAGGAAGCGTTCATCCAAGCTGCAGATGATAGCCTGCTCGATGAATTGTCCCACAAATTCATCTCTTGGCAAGATGTGGATCGACCACTGCCCATGGCCACATATTCTGCTGCTCGCTGCAGCTCGGAGACAGATGGGCGACAAATGTACTGCGTTGTTAGAGGCACGATAACTAGCTCGTGCTCTAACTTGAGAGCAATAGAGGCGCGCATTCTCATGCGACGCTCCAGATCCGACAATTTGCTGGGGCCCAAATGGTCAGGCAGGCCGAGCGTACTTTGGCCTGCTTTGCGTTTTTTGTCCAGGCGACGCTGGTTGCTGTTGGCTTTTTGTCGATGCATCTCGCACAAGTTGTGACGCTCGCCATTGCGCTTGATGGCGCGCAGGTTCCAGCAGCGCTTGCTGGCGTACCGGCACTTAAGCGAGCTGAGTTCATCGATGGCCGTCTGCATATTAATACGAGTCCGTGAAATGAAGCTTTTTCTAGGTTGTGACAAATTAAAATTTGAGTGACTTCGTTAAGGTTCACCTTTGCAGACAGAAAGCTCTGGTCGTCAAAATTATGGAGCGGCAATTTGTACAAAGTTTGTAGTGCACAATCTATTTGTGAATTTGAGGGTGCGAGACTTGGCTAGTGGGCAGAGGAGACATTCTGCTGATTTATGGTCGGAAGGTGCAGAGTACTCCAAGAGTCGTGTAATAAGGCAGCAATGTGCATCATGCTTGATCGCAATTTCCTACATGGATCGAGGGACTGGTTGATGTGGCACTGCTTCAGCTCTGCTTACGACGACCACCAGCACTATTAATGATACTTAATAAAATATGACAGGCCGTTCTCGTTTGGCGTTCACTGATTTTTGAGTATAATCAGATACGTCAGTTAAAGCATGTTAGTTTGAGGTCCTTTTCAAAGCAATGTAGATCAAAAGTATTCCCAGTATCAGGAATACTGAAAATATCAGCTACTGTAGTATCGTCGATCGAAGTTGTGCGCTTCGTAAGGTTAATAAAGCTGCAAGATGCACCATCCGAAGCCGGAGATCGTCAAAACAAAAATCAGCTGATCGATTTACTTGGAGCTGAGTACCTGCGGCTTACACGACATACATTGCTGTCGACAGTAGCGTTCTTCAGTAGCCTTTCCGCTAAGATTTTTAAAGCAGACTCCAGACGTAACGGGGAAGTGCTGCATTCAAGCTTATTTTTTGAATGAGCTTCCGAACGATTTTTAGAATTTAAAGGAGGTGGCATCTTTTATGATTCAGTAGTGCGTAACCTCATGTACATTAAATATACTAAGCAAGTCCAACGCGTAAATAAACAGGCAGAAGGGAGTCGGTATCACCGCGCTATTTTATCGAGCGAACAAGTCAACTCTTGGCGTAACACGAATGGGTATATTACCAAACTCTATATTTTGCTAGCTGTCGATTGTCTGCGGATGTTTGTTATCTCAGCGAAATTCCTTCGCGTTTGACCACATAATATAGAGGAGATCCTAAACAAACTCTTTCGTGTACTACGATGATCAAAGTGAGTGTATTAATGAATGCACATTTTTTGGTATGTCAAACATGCCTTATGCTGTACTTCTATTCATGAAGTGCAATGCAAGTCTTTTCTCCATGAAGTAGATATCCGGGCGGTGGCACCATGAGATGATTTTCCCATTGGAAAATCTTATATCACTACTAAGTCTCCAAAAATCTTCAATTCGACGATAAAAGTTTTTAACGAGTTACAGACCTCATCTAAATAAAAAAGCATGAAACCTAGAATTTGCTGATATTATGACTACAGAAATACTCTCAGAATTTTTGAGCTGCGCCACACTTACGCTCGACTCTCTCTGCACAGAAATTGTCAAATTCCCATGGAAGAACAATTACATCGTTTACATGAGGTACGAAAAGTATCGCCACCCGACTGTCTGACCGAAGTGACTCACATCCATAGATGCTATCGTGCTCAATCCCGGATCGATTACAAGCAAATTTGAATTCAGAGACAAAAATGAGCGTTTTCGAACATGATTTTCGTATGACAGCCCCACCCACCGCCTTCAATGACTTACGTGGATGTAGTCAAATTGCCAGAAGAAGCCGGCTCGTGACGGCATTGCTTCGTCTGCTGGATGATGCTTTTCTCGAATCACGCCATCTTACTTTGTCGAGCATGAATGTGGGAGGAATTCTCGGCGAACCTTCAACTGCATGAGATTCCACCATCAATCCTGGACAATTCGGATTCGCCAACGATCACATAAAGTCGTATGCAAGTTCCCATTTACAGACGCACAACCAGGCTGTTCCAGCAGCCAAACAAACACAGACATGGGAATTGACAGACTGAAATTCCTTTAAATCGTATAAACAGACATTCGAGTCCGGTTAGTAAAAAAAATGTTTATCAAAATCGATATCCAGGTAAACAGATTTTACCTATGCTAGGACCGACAACGACTATATGGTCTTGGTAAACTTGGCTTTACTCTCTCAGCATGAAGAGATACAAAGTGTATCATAAATCTTACTCACTTTACACGACTTTACAACCGGTCCGTTTTTAGGCATTATTCTCGTCATGCAACCGCCAGTAGCGACGAAACATACCGCGGTAGGTTTTTTTAGTGACAACTCCTTCTTATCGAAGGTCATACGAATATCCAATGGTGAACAAACGCTCTAGGAAACGGCGACGGGCTTCGTTAGCTTCTCTCGTCTCAAATTCTACGAACATTCGTCAGCACGAGCGACGTCACAGTGAAGCTGTGACATCAAACAAAATTAATGAAACTAGTTCCCCAGAGCTTGTCGTCGAGATTCCTCAGCTTTCAAAGAATTCGGCTAACGATCGGGATGTAGGAGCATTAGAGGAAGGTAAACTTCCAAAAAAACTCTTGAGGATATCACCGCGTCTGAATGTACAGCTTGGAGGATACCCACCGGATTGCGGTACCAAGGAACTCAAGTATCTATCACATGCCAAAGTACTGCGTGATCGTGGAATGACACACCCGATGCGTTACTCCACTACCCGAGTCGATACGCGGGGTTTTGCCGTACCAGAGCCATACCCGCTGTTTTCGACAAACTTTGGGGCGCATTCTTTCCGGAACTTACCGACAGACTCCGTTGTATTGAGCCAATATGGACTTGGAATTGCACTTTACTTCAAATATCTGAAGGTCATTACATGGCTCTTCTTTTTTCTCAGTGTCCTCAGTGCTCCTGTCCTCACAGTCTACATCTTGGGTGGTGGTACTTCAATTGCGGAACTAAGTGCTCTCGCACGCCAAAATCTTCCGGCAGTCCTAAGTCTTACCAGTATTGGTCATCTAAATGAAGCAAGCAGTGTTTGTGACCAGGCTTTGGAGAATACTGAACTGTCGCTTCAATGCCCAACCGGTGAGATCGGATTTTTGAAGGCGGTTTATTCAACTTACGATTCTCAAGGAAGCTGCTCATGTCCGGTGCGCAATAAGGTCGCAGAAGATTCGGGTACGTGTCGCGGGCATGCTACAGACTCTACTTGTCTCGCAGGAAGAGTGGGATGTTTTTTAGGTATTCACCCTGTATCACGTCTCCCGTGCTGTTCATTTTCACGGGATGAAATAACTAAGACGCCACAATTTAACGATATGCGAATTCATAAGGTTGGCGGCTGTGGCTCCAATATGGCTCAACACATCGTGGAAGGGCTCTGTTTGGGTACGAAGAGCTGCACGTTTAATGTTAGTGAAGCCATTTATTACGAATGGAGCCTTAGTGCAAAATATGGAACAAATTGCACGAACCCGATCAGAGCTGTCACTAACGACAACTCTGCGAACGCTACCAAAGAAGTTTGTGTCGCTCAACTGAATGACGATAGTGACTATACAAAGTGTGAGACCGATAAGCTTCGTGCGATGATTGTGTATGGACGGTGCTTTGCCACGCGAATTGATTTATCAGGCGCATGGAACCTAGAGATCATTGGCTGGGACTCTATAACTGTAAGAATGACTTGATTACTTTATCTGATTTTGAGCTTTGATTTTTCGAAGCACCTTCAAAGTATCTGACCATGGCGTCTATATAGCGGCAAAATTTCCTAGGGTTCGCTATAGCATGCGATATTGCGTGTAGTCTCGCGTTCTTTGGGGTGGTGATTTGGCTTCGACGAAAAGAAAAGGAAGCAGTCGACCGTATTGCCCAAAATCAAGTCAAGGCTCTCGACTACACAGTGCAGCTAAAAAATTTACCTCAACATGACGATCTCAATGTTTTGCGTCAAGAGGTGAGCTCATTTCATTGTTCTGTGTAAGTAGGCTCTAATTTATTGCGGTACTAGATTTGCATCCACCTGGAGTCAATTCTAAGTAATGCTCCGACTTTTGCCGTGAAACTTGACCGTATACGCGTTGCAGACGTGCAATTCGGTAAAAGTGCCTCACGTCATTTACAATTACTCCGTCGTCGTGGTGTGATTGTGCGTCAGCTTGAAATTGCTCAGCAGCGTCATGAGAGGTTAAAACTTTTGTTTGGACGTCTTGATGAGTACGTGTTTGCTAGACGTGAGCGTCGGCACTTGCGCGCTATAGGCTTATTAGAGGCAAAGCTACATCGCTTTAACGTTAAACTCGCACAGTGGCACAGCTATCATGAACGTTACAATATTTCGCAGGCTGTCACTGCTTTCATAACTTTTGAAGAAGAAGAAGGCTTTAACCGTTGTCTTCAAGAATATCCAGATCTCGGATGGATTCACCGACTTTTCCAGCCACACTACAAGCGGCTCCATGGCAAAAGCCTACAATTCTTCCGAGCCCCGGATCCAACCGACATAATCTGGGAAAATTTACACTATCCATATCTTGAGCGAATGTTACGGCAACTGGTGCGTAAAGTAGCGTATTTGCAATGCAAAGTTAGTCTCACTCCTGCTATTCTTGACAGGTCGTGGCAATGGTCACGTTGTCTGTATTATTTCTGAGTTTCGTCCTCATTTTTCTGGCAAAAGAGCAAAAAAGCAAGCTGGAAAGGCAATTCGGACGACCAACTACTTGTCCGACTAAAGTCTTGAAAACTGACGTCATTCAGGATGAGATGAATAGAGCTTCTGGATCGGTACCATACAAAGCTCTTCTTGAATGCTATTGCAAAAATTTAGTAAATAACCAGTAAGTTTCGGAGCATTTCGTGCTGTCAGAAATTAACTGTGAATTGCTTTTCGGTTTTTATTCGTACAGTTCCTTTCAAAGCACTATGTATGAAACATTTTACAATCCTTTGACGGGGAGAAGTGATATGTTGTGCAGGACGTGGGCAACAACATTTGCAAGAACACAGATTTTATCGATTGCATCGGTGCTGTTGGTTGTAGCGGTGAACTTGGTGTTGGCTCGAATTCTTGATGGGCTTGTAACGGTAGAGAAACACCATACGGAATCAAGTCTAGTCGTGTCCCGTGTTAGAAAAGTTTTCTTAGCTCAATTTTGTAACACGGCGCTGCTGATGCTTGTCATCAATGCCAATGCCGATTACTTTTTGAAGCCATCAGCAAATCCACAGACGGGCTCTACTGCTGAAGACTTTTCATTTGGAATGTTGAAGTTTCTTGACGGCGAGTATTCAGACTTTTCAGCAAGTTGGTACAATGACGTTGGTGCAGCACTTATGCTCACTATGATTATCAACTCGTTCAGTTCGCACTTCTATGTCTTGGCAGACTCAATTTTTTTAAAGGCTCGTCGCTTCATCGATCGTGGATATTCTTTCGACCATTCGTTGACAAAGCAAGACATTCAACGTGATCTAGAAACACTTTATCGCGGACCAAAGTTTGATCTTGCTTCTCGTTATGCTCAATCGCTAACAACTATTTTCATCACGTACATGGTAAGTACGCTCAAGTTCAGAAAACAAGCAACATCTAGTTTTAAGACATGATGTTTTGCAGTTCTCAGCAGGGATGCCCCTGCTCCATGTTATTGGATTTGGTGCCACATTGATCACGTATTGGGCCGATAAGTTCAGTAAGTAATTATCATCTCTGCTTTCTAAGTTTAAGCAGATTACTTACTACAAATATTGTCAGCCTTTCTTCGCATTGCTCGCTCACCGCCCTTATATGATAGCAGATTAGCCACTACAGCGGGTTCGCTGCTTCCGTATGCAGTACTACTCCATTGCCTTATTGCCGTGTGGATGTTTTCCAACGATAACATTTTTGAATCGGAAAGTGAAATAGCAGTCGCAGAAAGTACCTTCAGTAGTCCATTCAGTGCTGGCGACAACATTCCTCTCTTCGATTCATCCCGCGGGCACTTAATTTCGCGAGTCACGCGTCCTCCAGTTGTGATTCTCTTTGCATTTTTTGTAATTGGAAGCACTATTGTAGTCGTGCGCTCCATTTTTTTTGAGTATGGGCCAGCTTTGATTCGTAGCGTTTTTCCAGGAATTGCTTCTTTACTGGAAAAGCCTCGAGTAGCGAAGGGGCTTCCTAATTACTTTGATGGTGAGCGCGTAAGCCCAATTTGTATCGTTATTCTAATGTTGCTATATTCCCAGCAATCCCGACATCGTTAATACTGGAGAAACTAGCTGCTACAAGCGACACACAACAACCTTTGCGACCAGATTTACGAGTCAAGTACGAAAATGCTCTACAGCATCGCCTCTCAGAAGAATCACGGCTTTCAAAACGCTCTGTGACTGACGCCAAACACTTTAATGAAGCCAAACGGATCGTCGGCTGTCATTCTTATGGTGAGTGTGTCTTTCATTGTGTTTTGGACAGCAATCTCTCATCTTCCATTGAGTGCAGCTATCAGTGACAACAAGGAATACGTCGCCAAGCTTGCAATTGACTCGCAATTTTCCGAAGAAATATCCCTAGATCAGATTTTTTAAAGAACTGTGGTATGGTACACGCGCTCAACGTTTATTAGCGTTTTGTGCAGTATCTCGGACACGAGTGCTACCTTCTCAAGTTTATGTCTGTTTACATTACCTAATTTAATGCCTTGGGAGACGCCGACGAATCCGCTACTGTAGTGGATAATGGTGACTGTACGCGCGAGCTAGCATCCGATCCGTTCGATTGCAAGCCAGAACGCATGTTTTCTTTTCGAATAGTGCCCAGCGCCATTTCCAACTCACCTGGGCAGTGCGAAAAAGCAAAGCCCGTGTTGTGACGTACGAGCCGCGGCGAATCCACAACCACCGCAACGTCTTCACCCTTAGCTAAACGATTCCACTCCCGCATCAAGTGCGACGGCTCCGGGTAAAACAAGACCCGTCCAGCTTTTGCGATGTAATTTGGTAAAACGGCAACAACAGCAGAGAAAAGGAGGCCAAGCCAAAACCAGGATTCATTTATAAGCTGGCCAAAAACACCATAGCTTATCTCGGTATCGTAAAAGTCTGCCCCCGACCAACCGAATACAGCACAGAAAAATGCAGTAAAGAAATAGTAAAACACCAAGGTTCCAATAGTGGAGATAGCATTTGCCCGAGTCCAGTTACTCGTCATGAGCGACACTTGCACTGTCGAAGCTGTAATCAGATATGTGTAGGATGCAACACCATTCGCCCAAAGACCCAAGTCGCGCTTGTCAAACTGAATATTCGACGACGCACTCGAAAAATACCAGACGACCGATCCATTTGTAAAGAATGGAACTGCGTATACGACATAAGCATGCCATGCCCCCAATGCACACCACGCGAAAAACGATAACCAATTAAACGATCGGTTTTTTAGACCGTTTACGTATAATGTAGGGTACTGCATTAGCACTGCGGGAGACACATCTTGATTGTACATGGCAATGATCACGATCGGAATTGTCGTGAACAGAGCGTTGTAAAGCGTGAAAAAGATGCTAAAATACATGAGCAAGCCACTGTACATTGTTTCCATTGCCAAAAAAAAGTTGGACATCGAGAGCGCAACGTTCTTCATGAATGAAAATAGAATGAGTTTTGATATTCTTTTGTAGCTGTAGTTACCGTGCACCAGGAGTAGACGCTTGAGGTACTGAAATTCTGCAATAGAGTAATCACTTGAGAGAACAGCCTGACGTCCCTCTTTGCCGCTAATACCGACACCGACGTTTGCAGCCTGGATCATTGGTACATCATTAGCACCGTCGCCAATAGCAAGTGTGATGTTGCCTGGAGAAAACATAAGCGTAGGTTCTGTCACTAATTTCACCACAGAAGCCTTTTGAGATGGTGAGCAACGACAGCAAATGACGGATTTGCATTGCGTAGCTACCGCCAAAAACAGGTACTTGATGTCATCATCCAGCACAAGAGCAAGGGTTTTGCCGTCGATTACCATGGCGAATTCAAGCTCTTCATCAATAAAATCCTCACTACTCATACTGTCAGTTTTACCTGTCATCATCTCGTTTTTCGGCTCGAAATCATGATCACAAAGATTGTGATTAAAAGTATCTTCGATAGAATTATCACGATTTGACTGGGCGGGATATACCTCATCGTAATGAGCATTACCAGCTGCAGGTACGGATTCAGCACCAGCATGATCACGACGAGGAAGACGTCTTCGCTTCTTCCGAGCCTCAGCTTCTTCATCTCGTCCCACCAGTCCGAGTTTCACGAGATCCCACAAATACAAAATAGCTCGCTTCAGTGCTTCCCACAGCACACTCGTTGCTGACGATGTTTCATCAGAACCCCACTTGTCCTCGACAAGATCAACATACAGCTCTTCCAACCGGGTGCGTAACGAACTCTTGTCTCGCTGCCCCAACACAATCACATCCATATTATCATCAATCACATGCGACGACATACCAATGCTAAGAGCCGTTTCCTTTTTGTCACCCGTCAATACCCAGAACTTGATGCCAGCCTTGCGTAATGCACAAATTGATTCTTCCACGCCATCCTGTAACCTATCTTCAATAGCCGTTGCACCCAGTAGCGTCAACTCCACCTCAATAAGAGCTGACACATTGGCGATTTTTGCAGCACGACCCTCCATTGAAAATTCTGCCTGGCGGTACAATTGATTCCATTGGTCATACTCCTCTTGAGCAAGACGACGCACAGCAGTAGTCAAGGTTCGTAGACCCTCTGATGCGTACTCTTGAAGATGGCCACGGGTCACGTGCGCTACACCCTGAGGCTGGGACTTAGAAAGCAGGTCAAATATGATGTCATCAGCACCCTTACAGTACAGGACAATACTGCCATCAGGAAATCGCACAATGACCGACATTCGCTTCCTGTCGCTGTTAAATTCCAGTACATTAAGAATCTCAAACGACATGGGTCGACCCTGGATTAGCGTATTACAGAACGGGCCGTCACGCGACTCAAGAACATAGCCGAGGTCTGCAGCAGCCAGAACCAATGCCTCTTCGTCTGGCGAAGATGCGTTGTATTTAATTCTGGGCGTAAGAATAGATCCATCACTTGAAATAGGTGATGTAGGACTGCTCGTTTCCGGAATCACGGTATTGCAAATCGTCAGCAGCAGCAGAAAATCGTGAATTTCTCTCTTTGTCAAATGGTTCGAATTTAGCCGCGCCAGCAATCGGCCATCGTTGAACCTTGTGCCTGGTCTTACTTGCTTCGCAGGATCGACGTCAACATCATTGTAACGAAGACCCCCTATCGTGCATTTTGAAAATATCATCTCGTTGCATGTCAATGTCCCCGTCTTGTCCGAGAAGATGTACTGAATCTGCCCTAAGTCTTCGTTGATGTTGCTGTTACGAACCTGAGCGGGAGTATCAGTTTTTGTGTCGTATATCTCCAGATCATTTTCAATGTAACGCGCATGAACAAAGCGAACACCTTCCATGGTGACGTACATCGAAAGTGGAATCAAATTGTTAAACAAGATGAGATAACTCAAGAAAATGTAACCGTTTGAGTCTTCATTTATGTACCATGGCGTTGTCTCATCGGCCCGATCCAAATTCCAATTGTTATTCCCCAGTGTGCAAGCAGTGGATATGCCAAAGAGCAGCATTAAGACCAGCACAAACATTGTGTCCAGCGTCTTTTCTACAAAACTTCGCTTCAACGGCACTGCAGCCGAATTCATCTGCACTTTAGTTTCTTTGCCTGTGTAGATCACGAGCCCCAGCGTCCAGTCGGCGTTACGGCTTTCACTGCCACGTAAGATCAAATTGTCCATCGTTAAGCTAGATTTCGCGGCTTCTCTAGTAGCGTCGATCACAACGTCGTCAGAATTTTTGAGTAACTTTATCACACCATCAAAGTAGAACAGGTCCTTGTTCGGCACGTCGCATTCCACTTCAAGCGTATAATTTTCCAAAATCTCTTCAGCTGACGTAAACTGTTTGGTGCAGCTCGCCACTTGTCGAATTTTCAGATTAGTTTCGCCATCAAGATTTGCAGTCTCCACATAGCACCTGCCATCTGATCGACTGGTAGCCAATAAAATGCAATCCGCTGGAACTAAATCGCCATCTTTCAGAAGTAAGACATCCCCCACTTCAATATCCTGCCACATGCCATCAATGTGCATGACATCATCCATTTCATCACGACGCACAATATGCGCAGGTCTAGAGTTCACTTGAGCGTCTCCCTTCTGTCGGCGCCGATCTTCGCTCACGTCTTTCAACGCAGACGTTGCAAACACAATCAACAACGGTGTAAGACTTGCCACAGGGCTCACGGGCGAAAAGTCAAAAAAACATAGAGCCACGACGATGGTAGTATAGAAATTTGCCAGTCGACTGAACTGCATCTTGAGAAATACAAAAAGAAAGTTGTAGTACGTGTACTTGCTCGTAATAATGAGGTTTGAGCAGAATACGGGTGTACCTTCTTGGGCTTCTGCTTCTTTTTCCCGTTGTTTCTTCGTTTTGAATAGTTCGGGTAATGAAGCCGAAATACCGGAATGAGAATGTCGCTGTCTATTTTGTGAGACACCTGGAGCCACGACCACTTTACGGCGCGCAGAATGTCCTTCATCTGCATTCATCTCAGTCAACGGATGGACAGACAAAGTCTGGTGCAGCGAGTGACCTCGCTGTGGGGACGGCATCATGGTAGCTAAAGCTGCACGGTCGCACTCTCTTTGATTCTGAACTGCCTTGACAATGCGGCGAAGTTTCCAGCCGTACATGAAGCCCATTATATTGAGCATTGTGAGTAAAATGGAAAAAAATCCCTGCATGAGCACTGATGTACCACTGCTGACGCTATTAAGTCGACCGTTATAGCCCTTATAGTACCAGATAACGTCTACCATCAACGTCAGCTGCATGCCAATTTTGTAGCTGAGAAGAAATTTGGGCACAAGGAACTTCGTACCGTGCCATCCCAGCACAAGCGTCACGTACAGAATCAACACGGGTAATGTGGCTTCAAAACTAAGGCCTAAGATGATGGGGAAAATTCGTAGCGAGTTGATACCCGTTTGAGAAACGATTGTGAATTTTAGACGACGTCGCGTCTGGTAGATGGTCATGCCCTTAAGGAAGCAAAAAACTTGCTCAAAAAGGTTCCAGAGCTTAGCTTCAGCATCGGGCGTCGAGTCAGACGCCACGGAATCCGCCATGCTGTCGGCGCGGTATCGCAGCGAAATAATATTGCGTTGTTCCTCTTCGTTACCCGCACCCGTAAACGTGTTGACGCGGCGAAGGTTCTTCGGAGGCGCGGAGGGCGCTGGCGAACCACTTTCGGCCGCAGCAGGGGCAACATTTTTTGTACCCATATCCAATGTGTAGTCCGTTGAACTATCGGAAGGCGAAGGCACCGCGAACTCGACGCGCATCGGCTCCTCAATCGGGAATTCGACAGCCCGCCTACACCTATTCTAAGCTGGGAACTGGGAAGGGATGAGTACATCCGATGCGCTGGCTTATTGGCTGAAGTAACGCCAAGAGAGCTTTTAGAGTCTTTTAAGTAACTAGAACATTGTAATCAGAGCAGAGATGATGCAGCAAGCTAAAAATTACGTCGATTACTTAATCCCTATGTACAATAACAGACTTCCAGTGAAAGAATAGGATCAACTTTTCATGCGACATTATTCAAGAATGCTTTCAACTTTTGTGTGACATTGTTCGATACAGAGCCATCAACTGCATGCAATGGTACGATGTTATGGCAACTTGGCGACGCAGAGTATGTATTCGCAATGAAATTAACTTGCTTGTCAGCCGGATCTTTTCGACACTTGGTACTAGAACTATATACAGGCCAATATCTTGCACTAAAAATTGTAAAAATTGTGAGTACGGGAGGCGTAATCATCTTGAAGCTAGATAACTTGGAAATCATTTAACTGAAGTGTTTGCTGACCATGAGAAAACGTAAAGAGAATCAATTTGTTTGCAAACACTACTTCTCAATTCCTACTTAACAATGGGATCTATCATGAACCACTCAAAAACACGTTAAGTCTCCGCAAGCAAAATATCAGGCAGATCATGTAGAAATATTCAAACTATTAGCTGACTGTGTATGCACGGAAGGCCGGACAGGTCCAAATGTGAAACGTGAAGCATAAGTTGGTTGCACCATCACCTGATAAGCCTGAAGTTCTCGACCGTAAACGAAAAATATCTCTTTATGTCTCATTTCTAAAGCGTATTATATAAAGTGACAGCGATGTCTAAGAAAACGAATTCTTCTCAGAACTTTCTCGTTGGTTTCGCCACAATGCGACATGAGTTGCATAAAGGCTAGACTTCGGTACATAATTACAGGCAAAACCACACAGGCGAATCGATAACGCGGACTCACATGTCAGTACTCTCTTTGTGCAGGATGCGCGGCACCTGTTGCATCTTGCTTGGAAATCGTTGTTCGAATAGTAGACCCAGCAAATAACTTACAAAATCGGTAGTCGAAATTTACGTACCAGCCAGCACATCTCTATACCGGTATCCTGCGGACCCTAAATTAAATGTTTCTAGAGATGATATTATGGCTGTGCGAGTTAATGATAATACGCTAAGAGACTTGTATTGAGAGACACCGTGCCCGTTTATCGAAGCAGGGAGCGGTCTGCAACGGATTGCCGTGCATACCGCACATAGTAAGCTTCGATTTTACGAGCCGCGTTCATAAACGCACAGATGATGTGCAACGACTTTGCACAGATAAAGTTGTGACTCTCAGAGTCCGCAAAATCAACCACGCACAGAATAAAATCGTGAGCTTCTACCGGAAGCGGAACATAGAACCTCTTAAGTAATTAGCACTCTTAGTTTGCTTTCTGGTATCTCAAAAGAACGTAAACTTAGTTTATTTCTATTTAGACAAATCCAACATATTTGCGTTTTACAAATTTTCGTAAAAAAACTGCATTCCCATCATAATAAAATTATAGTATTTAATAAAGGAATATCCCAAGCATTAATAATTTCAATCAGCTCCATCAACGAAATTTTGTCCTCTTTATGTTTACCGACATACCGGCTGCTGAATACTAGGGATGGGGACGTTAAGGGACGGAAAGTTCCCGTAAAAAAAAATTTGATCCCATCTTTACGTTAAGTTTACGTTAAGGACGTTAACTTTGGAACATCTGTATTATGTGAGCCACATATTCCCCCACAACAGAATAGGACAAGAGCGGAGTGTTCGCGAGGATCAACTAGCTACTTGACTGTCGAAGGGCATTCTACTCCAGCTATTTTGTTCTTTGTGGTGATCGACGGGTGGAACTATTCTGTCACTGGTGTCAGCTGGGGAGGGGTGTGGAGAATTTGGTTTTGTTTGACGACTACTTGAACTGGATTGAGTGAAGCTACGTTTCTGGATCTATTCACTGTTAAGTGGAAGTTACACTGGAAATTTATCTTTTACTGTAGATAGAAGTTACTTTCTGGTTTGGATCGCTACAATACATTTCTTGGAGCTCTATAAAAAGTGTTTCTATGGAGGATGCAACGCCCCAGCACCCGGATCTGCCTTTATTTAAAATGCCGCGCCAGCACAAACAAGGCTACTGGTCCTTCGTCATGCTAGTTGCCCCCAGCGCGCATCTACCAGCGGGGAAGTCGAAGTGGGAATCATCAGATGCAGATATGGCATACTGCACAAAGTGTAAGGCAACTTTCAAGTACAAATCGGGAAGCAGTGCTGCCATCCGTCAGCATCTTGGCCAACAGCATCCTAAAGTTCTAGCTGAATTACAAGGCAACATGAAGCGAAAGGATGCTTCCAA